ATGTAGGAATGATAGATTAAATCATTGGCCATGAGATCTATTTAACCTTCAGTCCCTCTTTCTTCTCCAGAGTCTGGGGAGTGAGGCTGAAAGTCCCAGCCCTGTAATGATGCCTTGGTCTTTCCAGTGATTTACTCCCATACTAAAGCTACCTGGGGGAGGCCAGCAATCAGACAACTTGTTAGCTTACAAAAAAACATTACTTTGGAGATGCTACAGATTTTAGGAATCATATGCCAGGAAACAGGAAGGGAGATCAAATAATATTTTACAATGTCACAGTATTCTTTACCTAATCTTTGAATATATGAAGTTCCTGGAGGTCTAAACTTGTTGTTTGTCATTTTCCTCATAGTGACTTGTTTCCTTGTGTGTTTGGTATTATAACTTTGTAGAACTTATTAAGTTTAATATATAGAATCATGAGATCTAAATTGGGATTGCTTTCTTCCAAAGAGAACTTGTGCTTACTTCTGATGAGAACCAGGGGTGCTACAAATGTGGGACAACTTTAGCCCCCTTCAGGAACTCCAGCTAATCACTGGAGTCTCAAATTCAGCTCTTTCATCTTGGAGCAGGCTCCACATCCTGCTTCTCAACATTAGAGTTAGGATAGGCATTTAATTCCAATGAAATCTCCTCTTTAGCATTTATTAACCCTTCACAATTGAGGTTTCATATCACTGTGTCTTTATTTTGGCTCTTGGAAATTTTCCTCACTTTATTGAATCACCAGAAAAGTTTTTAAAAATTATGCTGCTTGTATTTTTCCAGGATCTCATTATACTATAGTAGGAAAACCCTTTAGAGTGTCTAGTTTGACATTTTGCTGGAAACCGACTTTCATCTATTAATTTTGTCAGAAGAATTTTTAAATGTTCCAAGAAATAATTTGATTGTGAATGTATTAAATTTATTAATTAATTAAAGGAGAACTAGTATTTTTCTATGCTTATATAATATTTTTTCCTATTTAATCCATTGCTTTTATGCCCCTCAGTTTTATGTGTTTCTTCATATAAATCTTACGTGTTTTATATCAAGTTCATGACTAGACATTCTTTGGGTTGGTTGTTTTTGGTGGTGGGTATCATCATAATGGTTTTAATATCAAATATAGTAAAACTTTTTATTTTGCATATTTTATAACCAATCCTATTAATAAAATTTCTTGTGTTTCTAAAAGTTTTCAGCCAGGCACAGTGGCTTATGCCTATAATCTTAGCACTTTGGGAGGCTAAGGTGGAGTCCAGGAGGTTAAGACCAGCCTTGGCAATATAGTGAAACCTCGTCTCTACAAAAAGTAGAAAAATTAGCTTGGACACTCAGGAGTTTGAGGTTGCAGTGAGCTATGATGACAATGACATCATTGCTTTCTAGCCTGGGTAACAGAGCGAGACCTATCTAAAAAAAAAAAAAAAATTCTGCAGTTGAGTCTTCTAGTTTCTCTAGATACACTATTATTAACTAATAATAACATTTTGGCCTCTTTGTTTCTCAGTATCTTTTATTGATATTTTGTACTTTTGTCTCTATGCATTGGCTAGGTCTATGACAAACCTACATATTCTTGCACCAAAACCTTCCAAGATGTAAGATATTCATGCAGGATATACTGAAACTGGAAATAAAACAATTGACTAACATTATCTATAAGCAGATGTGTTAGTCCTGTAGAGTCTACTATAGAGACATGTTATACTATAGTAAATTGGCTTTAGATTTATTTTGATTTTAGACACAGCTTCCAAGTGATTGAATTAATGGCATCCTGAATTTGATTTCTAGAGAGACTCTTTTTTTTTTCTTATTTTTTTTTTTTACTTATCTTTGGCTATCCCACGCATTATATTGAGAGACTCTTGAGTTGGAATCTCAAAAGGGTATCCTAGACCATACCTAAGCACTGCAATAGGTATCTAAATCTTCAAGAGCACCATTAAATAAACATGCATATTTGTTTTCTCCAGAGCAATATATTATTCCTTAACCTTTACTTATAGTTCTTTCTTTTTCATCATTTTTGTTACTATCCTGTAAGCTTTCTCTAAAAGCTCTTTTTTTCTGGGGTTAAAGAACTTATTGTTGGCTCACAATCAGTCTAATAAGTATCTGCCCAGTTGAAGAGGGTTAATTACAAATGCTTGCTACATATTGTCCTCTATTTATGCATGCTAAGATTTTGTTTGCATTTTTAACAGGTTTACTGCATTAGACTTGTTTTCAGGTTGTGGTACTTTTTCTCTAAATCTTCTCCAATCATACTTGCACATAGCCTGTGTTCAATAACAAGTCATATAAAATAAACTCCTTTTCTTTGGGTAGTGTCATTAGAAATTCTTTCTTTTTTTTTTTCGAGACAGAGTCTCATTCTGTTTCCTAGGCTAGAGTGCCATGGCGTCAGCCTAGCTCACAGCAACCTCAAACTCCTGAGCTCAAGCAATCCTTCTGCCTTAGCCTCCCAAGTAGCTGGGACTACAGGCATGTGCCAACATGCTGGCTAATTTTTTCTATATATTTTTAGTTGGCCAATTAATTTCTTTCTATTTTTAGTAGAGACGGGATCTCGCTCTTGCTCAGGCTGGTTTTGAACTCCTGACCTTGAGCGATTCTCCCGCATCAGCCTCCCAGAGTGCTAGGATTACAGGCATCAGCCACTGCGCCCAGCCTAGAAATTCTTAATAGATCTTTATTAGGAGAAGAAAACCATTATATACTTGTCTGGATTTTGGCTAATACTCTCTGGACCTAATCTATTTTGACAACAGGTGGTTGATAACATAGGGTATGTTTACTTGATAAGTAATCAATAAAATGAGTCTTTAATTTGAGTATTTATATTAAAAACAACACTCAAGTAAGAGTCATTGGTATATTTTAAACTGAAGGCATTAAAAGCTGGCAGTAAGCCTTAAAGAAATTAGTAATTCTTTCCACAGATGTAGCCAATCTAAAATTTAAAAAGATTAAAAAAAGAGAGAGAAATTAGTAATTCAATAACTGGAGCAGGAGATACACAAGATGAGCCAGAAAGTAAGAAAGCAGTGCCAAAAAGGGAAGGTGCTTTAAAAAAAAAAAAACCACAATGATGAGGTTATGCCAGAGGGATACAGTAACCAGATGAAAGAGCTCCCATTGTCAAAGCTGGAATAATTTTAACAACAAAAGTAATAAAGTAGTAATCAGCTATAACCCAAAGTATGAAATAAATATCCATGAGTCCATACTGATATAAATAAATTATTAAATAAATTAATATATAGGGAGAAGAGACAAATATCCCCAACTGAAGAATTCTAAATAATTTATTATATGTGGATACTCTGCCACTGGGGAGATGGAATATAAATGCACACTTTGTAAATGTGGGCTGCACATAGTGACTTTCTTTGAAAGAGTAAAATATGGAAAGAGATTTTGATAGAGAGTAATTTTACAGTAGAGAATGCTGATAATACTATCCAGGTGACAAAGGCCAGGATCAACAGTGAACCCTTGATATGATGTAATGAGAATGGTAATTTACCTCTGTGGTCTTCCTCCCCAAAACCCATATCCTCAATCTATTCAAGAAAAACATCTGGGAAAATCCAGTCAAGATACACCCTACAAAATTCCTGACTAGTACTGTTCAAAACTGTCAAAGTCATCAAAAACAAAGAAAGTCTGAGAAACTGTCACAACCAAGAAGAACCTAAGGACATGTGACTCCTAAACATAGTGTATTAATAGTATCTTGGATGAAATCTTAGAACAGAAAGAGGACATTAAGAAAGAATGGAGGAAATCTGAGTAAACTGTGGACTTTAGTTAATAATTATCAATATTATCTCATTAATTGTGACAAGTATACCATAATAACAATGTAAGATGTTAATAATAGGAGAAACTGGGTATGGGGTGTATCTCTGTACTGCCCTCATAATAATTCTGAACATCTAAAACTGTTGTAAAATAAAAGTTTATTTAATAAATACATTTTTTAAAAAGTTGGCAGTATAGGCTGGGCGTGGTGGCTCACACCTGTAATCCTAGCACTCTGGGAGGTCAAGGCAGGAGGACCACTTGAGATCAGGAGTTCAAGACCAGCCTGCGCAAGAACGAGAACCCATCTCTACTAAAAATAGAACAAATTAGCTGGATGTGGTGGTGCCGGCCTGTAGTCCCAGCTATTCAGGAGTCTGAGGCAGGAGGATCACTTGAGCCCAGGAGTTTGAAGTTGCAGTGAGCGACAATAATACCACTACCGTCTCTAGCTCTCTAGCCTGGGAGACAGAGCAAGACTCTGTATCCAAAAAAAAAAATTTATCAGTACAACATTGTTTCTTTCATGTTTGATGTTGAAATGATTATCTTGGATAAACATTGCAAAATTTTAAGTGTCACAATCAAGTTTCATTGAGAAAAACTGGAAGGGATAGCTAATTTGTTAAATTAGATAATCAAGATTTTAAAAGATCTCAACAAACCAGAATGAGGAACTTATCTGCAATAAGATGCAATTTCATAAGGTTAAATAATTTTGAATTTATGTTCAAAAACCAATTGAACAAGTAAATTATGTTTACTATCTGCAGCATATGTGGAAAAATCTTAGAGGGTTTATTTTATAATAAACTTTACATGAGTCTATAACTTTTTGCTGTCTAAGAAAGTTAATATCTAGACTAATAACAGTTAGAATGGAAGGTAATGGTGCTACTCTACTTTGTTCAAAATAATCCTTGAATATGGAATTCCATTTGGAAACAGTACACTTTAAGAGAGACAAGATAAATTGGAGCATGTCCAGAAAATAAAAAGTAGAAATGTGAGGAAATTCCACTGTATACATGAAGAAATTTTGAAGGAAATAGAATGTTTATCCTGGGATGGGGTGGGGGTTATTAGAATATAATCGATCTCTTCACATATTTGAAGGGCAGCAATGTAAAAGAAAAGTAAGATTAATTTTGTGTGACTTTATTTTTTAATAAAGAAAATAAATTTATTTCTTACAGTTATGGAGGCTGGAAAGTCCAAGATTGGACAACTGCATCTGGTTGGCTTCTGGCAAAGGTCTCATGCTGTATCATAATATGGTAGAAGGCATCAAAGGGTAAGAGGGACATACTGAGAGCCAAACTGTCTTTTATAACAGACCCACTCTTGTGATAACTCATTAATCCATTAATCTATGAATGGATTAATCTATTTATGAGGGAAAAGCCCTCGTAACCCATTCACCTCTTAAAGGCCCTACCTCTTAATACTGTTACTTTGGGGATTAAGTTTCAACATGAGGGAAAAAATATTCAAACCATAGCATTCTGCCCCTGGACCCCCAAAACTCATGTGCTTGTGACATACAAAAAATACATTCATTCATTCCATCCCCATAGCCCAAAGTCTTAACTCATTCCAACACCAACTCCAAAGTCCAAAGTCTTATCTGTGAGCCTGTGAAATCAAAATAAGTTATCTACTTCCGAGATACAATGGTGGGACAGGTATAGGATGTACGTTACCATTCCAAAAGGGAGAAATAAGTCAGAAGAAAGGAGTACCAGGCCCCAAGCAAGTCCAAAACCCAGTATGGTAGACATTAAATTGTAAAGATAGAGAATAATCTCTTTTGACTCCATGTCCAGTATCTTATGTACACTGGAACGGGCAGGGGATAGGTCCCCAAGATACCAATCAGTCCTACCCCTAGGCTTTGCTAGGTATAGCCCACATGACTGGTCTCCTGGGTTGGAGTCCAGTGTCTGTAGCTTTCCTCAGAGGTCTCTGAATGTGGCTGGTGGCTTGACAGTTTTGGGGTCCCAGTGGCAGCCCCATTGCTACAGCTCCATCAGGCATTGCCCTGATAGATACTCTCCATAGTGGCTCTGTCCTTTTGGTAGGTTTCTGCATGAGCCCCCAGCCTTCTCAATACAGCCTCTGAAATCTAGGTGGAAGCCACTATGGTCTCATAGTTCTTATATTCTTCATGGCAATAGAATTAGCACCACATGGACACCTCCAAGGCTTGCTACTTGCACCCTCTAGAGCAGTGGCATGAGCCACTTCTGGGCCCACTTGAGCCACAACTTGGTGCCACTAAGGTTTACCACTTGTACCTTTTGGAACGGTAGATTGAGCCCCATTTGAGGCCACTTTATCCATAGCCGAAGCAGCTGAGTAGTGCTGCACTGAGATCAGGGAATAGAGTCCTGAAGTGGCATTGGGCAGCTAGGCTGTGGAGGGTGTCCTGGGCCATCCCATGAGACCATTCTGTCCTCTTAGGCCTCTGTACCTGAGATGGGAGAGGCAGTATAAAAAATCTCTGAAATGCCTTTGGAGTCTTTCTGTCATTATCCTGATGAAGAACACCTGGCTCCCTTCTATTTCATACTAATAACTTTAGTAACTGATACCTCAGCTACACCCTTATTTATTTCTCCTAAACATGCTTCTTCATCTTCTTCTTTTTTTTTTTTTTACATGGCCAGGCTGCAAATTTTCCAAATAATTGTATTCTGCTTCCTTTTTAATTATAAATTCTGTCTTTAAATCCTCCCTTTCATCTTGTATCTCACTGTGAGAAGCCAAAAGTAACCACATAGCATCTTGAATGCTTTGCTGCTTATATATTTCTTCTGCCAGAAATCCTATTTCATCACTCTTAAGTTCCACCTTCCACAAAGCCCTATGGCATGAACATAAGGCAGAGAAATTCTATGCTACTTTATAAGAAGGATAGCCTTTATTCCAGGTTGCAACACTTTATTCCTCATTTCCATCTGAGACTTATCAGAATGGCTTTACTGTCCATATTTCTATCAACATTTTGGTCACAACCACTTAACTAATCTCTAAGAAGTTCCATACTTTTCCTAGCCTTCTTCTGAGCCCTCACCAGAATCATCATCTTTAATGTTCCATTCACAGCATGTATGTTCTTCCAATATTCACTTCAGAACTGTTCCAAGTCTCTACCCATTACCCTGTTCCAAAGTTACCCCAAATTTCAGGTGTTTATTATTATCAATGGCCCTACTTCTCAGTACCAGTTTTCTGTCTTAGTCTGTTTTGCATTGCCGGGCAGTTGATGTAAAAAAAATTGTTTCTAACAGTTCTGGAGGCTGGGAAGTCCAAGATTGGGTGGCTGCATATAGTTAGCTTCTCATGAAGGTCTTATGCTGTGTTGTAACATGGCAGAAGGCATCACAGGACAAGAGGGACACATTGAGAGCCAACCTGGGTTTTATATCAATTTTGTGTGACTTTAGAAGATTGGACAGAAATAGGGTAAAAATTTAAAGGAGGAAGATTTCAGAAAAAAATTAATTTCTGAAAATAAAATTGTCTACCTTAATGTGAGTTCCCTGTCACTGGAGGTATACAAGTAAAGTCTATATGATTTTTTGTTGAAGATCTTCATGAAAAATTCCAGTGTTTATGGGGAGCTTTAGTAGAATATAGTTAACAACCTTAGCCTTTAGATTCTTTGACATTTCATTCAATTAAAATTTTTCTCCAGCAGAATAGAGCATGTGGCTAAAAAAATTTTTATCAAGTAATTTTATTTTCTCATACTAGTTAATTTTCTTAAGGCTTAATATTAGGCATTGGGAAAACAGTAGAGCATCTAATGGATAAGATCATAGATTTTGGAATGATTGTCTGGGTTCAGATCTGGCTCTAACTTGGTGACCTTGGTCAATTTCTTAACATCCATGTCTTGGAAGCTTTATCCAGCCGAAAGCAATGTGTTTCCTCATTTGTAAAATGAAGATAATAGTACCTACCTCGTGAGATTATTATTAAATATAAGGACTTACTGACTTAATATTTATAAAGTACTTAAAGCATAACTGGTATGTTATAAGCACAAGTGTTATTTTAAAAATAATGAATTTTTTAGTAAAAGTTTTAAGGCATTCTAGGTTTGAGATTGAATTCTGTACTTTATACAATGCCTTTAAATATTAAAATACATAGTTTCTATTCTAATTTAGACCTTTTGGTGCTGTTTTGTTTTATTTTTATTTTTATTTTTTTTTTATTTACAGCTACAAACCAAGTATGTTTTGTTTTAAATAAGAGGCAGTCTTTTCATGCCACAACTTAAAAATAGTAAATCTAATAAGATCAGTGAATTAATGATCCTGTGCTATGTAGATGTAGATGTTTATACATTAAAATCTTGATTATTTTCCCCTACATTTACTCTATGTCAAATTTAAATTCCAAACAGTTTCTTCCCTAATTTATTTTAAGGCCTGTCTTTCCTCATTTTCTTTTTGCTCATCCCAAATGCAACAATACCCTTGCTTAACCAACTTAACTTATGAATCTGGAATTGCAACATAAAGGTCCCAAAACAGTACTTAAAAATCTATGATTTATACTTAATGTGTTACAGGTGGCTTCTTAGGAGAAATGCTTATTTCTTGTGTCATTAAAATGATAAATTTCTAAATTCTCAAGTTCCATTTCTTTTAAAAAGTTTACTTCAGTTCATTTTCTTCCAAATTTTGTTTTGCATACGCATTCTCAAATAATACTTTTGGCCTTATGTTTACAAGAGCAAAATTACTATTAAAATCCTATTAGAAGTAAATTCAGCAACAGGATTTCCTGTTATTAAAACATCATAAGTTATTTAGACTAAATTATACCAGCTTTTATAACATGTTCTAGAGATCATCTGGTTAAAAAATTTATATCAGATCACTATCAAAACCAATAGCAATGTAATAGATAAGGCAATCTCAAATACAAATCATACCAAAATAAGCAACTACTATAGATTTTAACATGTTATTAATATCTGTTACATTGATTTCTGAGAGAGTAACTAGCAGCCAATTTATGTCTCTTAAGAATTTTACCTTCGGTTTCTCATTTTTTTAAAAAAGGTTTTACAATGAAATAAATGTGATAATGATATCTTAAAAACACATTTGACTATACCTTTGCTATGTTAATGTTTTGATTTAAAAGTTACTTTAAAAAATTAATATAGAGACCAAACACATTTCCAGTAGCTTTGGTGTTATTGAAAACATCTATTGATTTAAAGGTAAAAGGTGTGTTGTACTACAGTAACACAAGTCTGAATTTTAGGTACACCTGCTATAGATTATCAATCAAATGTCCATTATTTTGGTAAAAGGTAATCTCATTTGACTACATGTGATATTTTAGGAAAATATATTTTTGATAATGATTAAATGAAGATGGTTGTTTGTAGCATTTTAACTATGATAAATGAACTTTAATACTCCTATGAAGAAAGCCATTTCTATATTTTCTAATGTTTAATGCTATTGTGTTCCTGATGAATCACCACATGAACAAGCTGTACTAGCCTAATTTTCCCCTGTCTTTATTGCTCTCATGGCTACTCTTAAGGAAAGAGAGTATATCTACTGATTGTTGGGCCTGCTTTGGGCAAAATTATCTATCTACTATTTAAATCACTTGGCTGTTAAAATGGTTTTTGGAGTTATGAACAATTTTCTACATTTAAATGTCACCCTGTAACTGAAGAAAGTAAATTTAGTACCATATTTGCAGTATTTAAGTCAGGAATTATGGAGTTGTATCTTCTAAGCCTCTGCAGACTATAGAAAAGCCCAGACCTACTACTGAGTATGTAAGAGAAACTCAATATGGAAGTCTACCTAAAAATTAAAAAAAAAAAGAACAGAAAAAGAAACCTTTCTCCTAGAGATTATGATTCATTATAATTGGAAGCAGGGCCTAGAAATCTATATTTTTATTATGATTCATTATAATTGGAGCAGGGCCTAGAAATCTGTATTTTTCTGCCAAGAATCTGATGTTTATAATTAGACAAGTTTGAAAAATGCTAGAGTAAATGACTTCTAAGTTCAGATCTAAAGTTCTACAACTCTAGAACCAAGATTTACTTTTCTCCAGAATTTTTTCTTCAATGTAACCATTTTGTTACTATTTAGAACTATTTATTTATGCATCTTACTCAATGGCAACCGTGACCAGTGCTTGTTTCTTTGACACTGTTCATGCTTGTATGTAAATAGCCTGTTTGATCCCCCTTATGAACTTTGTACTGTTAGTGTATTCATTATTGTTATTACTTGTAGC